GTATAATTTATATATGTATAAGTATAATATATAAATATAAATATTATATTTATAAATTATACATATATATAAATTTATAAATATAATTATAAATATTTATAATATATTTATTTATAATTATATTTATAAATTAAATTTATATAAACAGTATCTAATTAGAATTATATTTTCACTATTTCGACGGGAACTTTTTTTGAAGCACTAACTTTTTTGTTTCGAAAGTATAATTATTTATTATAAAAAGGAAAAAAAGGGCATGACCAATTGATGACTCTGTTTGTTGAAACAGTGATTCACAGAACAAGAGAATCTTTTTCTTCGACTGGTTGAAATAATTCGTTGAAAGATCAATTGCAGAACGATGTTCTAGAAGGAAAAATATGAACTGGAGGATTGAAATAAATTTTCGTCGTGGAAAGAGAAAGAAACAAACTTGTGCCTTTTTACGAATGAACTGTGCTGGCTATTTACATTTTATCATACATGATATTTCTGTATCGCGGTTAAATTATAGAAACAGAGAACGAGAGATATTATTATAAACGTATATATTCGTTGCTACATGAGCGGAAATTATACTTCTTCTTTCCTACGATTGAAAAGAAAAATAAAAAAAAAAAAAAGTATGGCAAAACGCTTAGTGTTTATACAATGTATGACTTTGCAATTTTATTATATTATAAATTCACGCGAAGAAAAGTGGAAAGAAACGAATAGAAGCGAGCAAATTTACTATCAATAACGACTATTTATTATTAACATGATCGTGACAATGACGTCATTGTGAATTTTATTTACGAATAAATGTTTAAGATATTAGGATTCGTCCATTTTCAATTTAAAACGCCTTGAAACTTATATAATTATTTCTTTTACAATTTGGGGTAAATATGGGAAGAATTCTATCTTATCGACTAGCTTATCGACTGTATGAAATTTTTAAATTACAAATATTTATTTAAAACGTACAATCCTTTATTAAAATAAAATAAAAACATTTCAATCAATTTTTTTCTAATACTTTTAAACAGAGAAATTCTACAAATTTTAAGCTTTTGCAAAAACAACAAAAAATGGCGAGCTTAGTTAATATTCAGTCTAGATGTCTAAAAAATGCAGCCAGAACTTGTTGACGGTTCCTAAAGGCTTCATCTAGCTTAGGAGTGAGATTTACAAAACTATCAGCATATGATTTACCTTTTCTAAAACTGTACTACTTGTTTGAGTAAGTTACCAATTTCAGTCGAGTATTATACTTTTTTATGAAGTGGGCAAAACAACATTTCCAGCTGTAAGGATAGTCATTGTTATCAAACATATTATTGAAAATGTGATAAGAGTTTGTATTTTGTGGGCAGTTCTTTTAAAAATCTCGATCTATGCCTGATTAGATATTCTTGGAAAGTTCAATGTTGAATTCAGAAAAGCTAAAACGAGAATCAAGGAAGTCAAGTAGGGAAATAGGAGATATCTGATTGAATCTCGGCTTATTTTATATAAGGCAGATTCCAAATCATTATATTGCAGGTTTTCTGAAAAATGGAAAAAAGTAACTTTGACTCAGTTTTTAAAGATTTTATATTCTTTATTTATTTATATTCTTTATTTATTTGTAAAGACTTTACAACGTTCTTTGGATCAGAGTGAAAATTGATAGTGAATTTTCTGAAGCCACCTTTTTTTCTTGTTTTTTAAGGTTTTTGCAGTAAGAGTCAAAATTTTTTTATAACTAATCAAATTCTTTAAGTTGTACAAATACTGTTATTTCCTGAAGAAGATTCTACTGGATCAGTAACTATTTCATTCTGACATAAGGTTGTGCAAAAGTAGTGGCTGGAGATCAAAGTTTTTGCAGAATTTAGCCATATGATCCTTTTTTCTACATGAAGCAGATTACTTTTTTTGCTGATAGATAAATCCAGTAAGATGTATATAGCTAATAATAATTTATTTGGATGGATTCAGCTACGTTTAGAATGTTCTGGATACAGAACGACATACATCTGACAATGAAAACTCAAGATGTATGCGTATCTTGAATCATTTAAACTTACTCTAATGAAGGTGATCTGGGAGATGGGTCTAATATTTTGTCTAGCAAGCTCTTTAAGAATGACTTAATGCAGAAGTATAGGGCACACACTGGATAGTATTAATCGTTTGGATTTAAAAATGATTTGATCTTTACTTCTATATGATTGTCAGCCTTGTGCTTACTATCACAATATAAACAAACTGGGCCTTGAGAAATATCTGGATATAAATCTGATGTTCGACAGGTCAATAACTTTGCCAATTTATTCTTCAGCAATGTATTCTTGAACTGAAGTACCTTCAATGGAGTCTAATATGATTGCTTGTATATGAAATTGTGATTGCTAAGCAGCTTGAGCTTTGGAAGAAATATTCTGAATGGGAAAATCCATGGTTTAAAGTTAAGTATGTTGAGGTTAAATGCCCCTGTAATCGGAAACATTTAAAGAAAAACAATAGTAGATTAGAGATTAGGAAGAAATTTTACTCCCAATAAGGCACAAAGAGACACAAAGAAACAGAAAGAAACAGAAAATATTCACATAAACACTCACTGGCACTTCCTCACGGCCTTAGCTATTTAGCAGTGACAAAATTTGAAAATCTTCATATACCTCATCTGTGATACAACAATAATTGTATGCAATGTCTATTCACATATCTCGTCCATGCCTCTGTTCTGCGGTCTATTTACGTTCTTGTTGTGTTTGTATGCTTTCATTTTGGTGGTTTCCAATAGTTGGCAGCACATAGATCTTTTCCATTTTATTTCAATGTTTGACGGTAACATTGGAAGTGATAGAAAAATGATAACGGGGGCTACCCTAAATGTGTGTCATCAATCTATATTGAGTGATTTGTCTGTTTTATGTTTCTTCCTGTTAATGTCTAAAAGCAATTAATAACAAATTGAATAATAATTTGAAGGAATTGAAATTCGTAATAACTCAACCTAATGTAACAGTGTCATCGTGATTTCTAATAATCCAATTATTATTATTCTTTTTAAATTCATACGTAATGTTTTTTTTTTATTGAAATGCGAGCAAATAGAAAAGACGTTGGTTGTTCATATGTTTTTTTAGTGTTTATTAGAAAATGAGTGTGATTACAGTTGAAATTCATGGAAATGCTGTTACACTTTTTAGTGATTATCATATTTTGAAATTGTATTTTCACTTTTGTTAATTGCATCATTACAATATGAATGATATGGAACAATCTGATAATTCAGATAGTGAGAAACATGGCAATTATTATGCCTTATTAGTTGCATTTAAAACTATGAATGAACGTTGTCAACAATTAGAGACAAGATTAGCCACTGTTGAAGAAGAAAATATGTGCTTGAGACTTGAATGCACAAAGAATGAATCTACAGCTATTATGAAAGTTGATGATAATGAAAAAACTATTATGCAAACCTTGAAGGTTTATATAATATATATGCTAATGCTTAGAATGTATATATTTCACATTTTAATATACTTTAATGTAGCTTGGTTGACAGGAAAAAGTGGAGGAGCTTAAGAAACAAAAATCTCAACTCACTCATCAAGTTTTTATGGTGGCAGCAGAAAATCGACAGTTGTGGAATAGATTATCCAAATTAACAAGAACCAATAAATCCTTAGGAAGTCAATTAACAAAAATTTCTGATACGCTTAAGCAACATTCTCCAGCACAACCTTCAGACATTGTGTCTTATAATTTCCGTGATATTTCTAGTAAAGAGGATAACAATCAATGTTTGTTAGCGACAAACAATGGTATATATTGAATACAATTTACTCTTTATGCTGACTACATATTGAAGAAAAAATATTTAATTATTACATGCACTTTGATCTAGGTGAGAAAGAACAAAGTTTGGAAGAAATATCACTTAGACTTATAAATAGCATTATGTTAGAAAAGTCAGATTTAGAACAACAATATGCAGAGGTAAGTGAGGAATGAGATAATAATCCAGTTTTAAGAATTATAATTGTTTCTTCATCTATTGATCTAGATGGTTGAATTACAAAATAGTACAGAACCAGATTTAAGAAATATTGGTTTTACTTATCCTGAGGATTCAGATACAGATTTAGAATTATTGAAACAACATGATATTAGACTGTCACAAATGAAAAGCACTTTATTAGTGCAACAAACGAAACTAAAAAGAGCACTCCAAAATTTCAAAAAGAAAAAAGAAGGTATAGATAAAAAATTATTGGTATCTTTGTTTAGTAGACATTCTAGTTTATTTTATCCTTATTAGTCCATTCTTAAATACATCACATATTATTCATATAATTCAAATATATTCTAATATAATTTTTAATGTGATTTTGATTAGAATAATTTTAGTTATTTTATTTAAATAATCCCACAATTACAAATTTAAAAATATAGAAATTTTATTTTCCATATGTTGATGACTTATTGATAATTCAGTCATAGGTTAGAAATAATACATTTATTTTATAAAAACAGTTATTGGTTAGAATATCTCTGTTTCTATTAAGAAAATATGTCAATT